ATGGAAAACATATTAAAGCGTGTTGCGGCAAAAATATGTCTGTGTATAGAGAGAAAGAATGCGGAGATAAATTAAAATTTAAAGTAGTTGCCGAGCTTTATTAAAATAAATAAAAAACGTTGCATACATGCAGGCGCACAAGTGCTGTAGACATTTAACAGGAATGTAGTCAACATAAGATGAACAAAGTGATTGCTCAGATACACACAAATATATATATATATGTAGTGCATTTGCTAAATGTTCGCCAAATTTGGCGATTAGTAAAAGCAACGTACACATTTTAATAAAATTGAAAGCATTTGCCTTTTGGCTTTTTTACATGCTTTCAAACAGCCATGAAAGCTTTATTATTGCTTTCGTTTTGAGTAAATTTAATTTCGCACATCAGCTGTCAAAAATACATACATATACAAGTATATATGTGTTTTCATATGTACGTATACACACACATACCGAAAGATGCGCTGATTTCAACGTTACACTTAGTCTTTTGTGTGTGAAATAATTACATCAATTAAATTTAATGAATTGTGACAAATAAAAAATGTAATACAAATTCAAAATGTCACTGCCTTTGATCCTTTTGTCGCATCCAATTAAATTTGATCACAGCGATTGGAATTTCAATTTGCCATTTCATCGTACAAAAAACACACAAGAAAAGGTTTGAATATACGATAGACAATAATGGATCGTTGTATATGTGAAACCTTGTGTTTTTGTGAAATTTTATATAGTTAACACACATGCATACATATTTTCGCTTAAATAGCTGCGCATTGTTTTTGCGTGTTTTTCACACATCTGCACTCAATTGCGAGCAGTGTAATGTTACCAGATGGTTATATCTGTATTGGAATGAGTATGGTGTGGTATATTTTGACCAAATTCACATACATCTACATATCTACTTCATTTTGCTGACTCATGTTCGGCAGTTTACTGAGGTGCTAAAAATTTAATAAATTTTAATTATAATGTTATATTAATTTCATACTGTTAATTAATTTTGCCAAAGACTTTTTTCATTCATTGTTTTAAATTTTGAAAGCTATCAGCTAAAAAATAAATTGTTTATTGACATACTAAAAACAGATAACGTCACGGTAAACCTTTTTCAATCATCTTAGCATTTCCGTGATGATTTTTTAATTTCTGATTTTTATTATTTTCTTTTTCGATAATGATTAATTTTGCTAAATTTTACAATAAATTATAAATAATTTTTATTTTTGAGCAAAAAAAAATTAAAATCACAAATAATATTTTTTTTAAATCAAAGGTTTCTTATGAACTCTGCATATGCATAATCATTATTACGTGATTTTTAAAATAAAACTTATGATAATTACGGTCTCTGGTAAATACTATATATTAGGTCAAGTAAGAAGTTCGTTCGGTTTTTTATTGATTTTTCAAAAGATGATAACTTTGTGTGATTTGTACGATTTAAGTCAAATATATGCCGGGTTGTTCATAAACTTGTTGCCAACGAGATGTCAACTTCATTATACCCCTATCGTAGAAGGCTGTGTCCCTATTGGCAAAAAACTCGGAGAGCCAATTTTCACAGGCCTCTCTTGAGGCTAACTTCTCACCATTAAGCGCGTTCGCCATGGACAGGAAAAGATGGTAATCACTTGGTGCCAGGTCCGGACTATAAGGTGGGTGCATTAGAACCTCCCTTCCGAGCTTCAGGAGCTTCTGGCGAGTCACCAAAAACGTGTGTGGCCTGGCGTTGTCCTGATGGAACACAATTCGGCCTCTGTTGACCAAAGATGGCCTCTTTTGGATGAGTGCTGCCTTCAAGCGGTCCAGTTGTAGGCAATAGAGGGCCGAATTTGGCGTTTGGCCATAGGGGAGCAGCTCGCAGTAGATCATTCCTTGCCCATTCCACCAAACACACAGCAAAACCTTCCTGGCCGTCAATCAGGTCTTGGCCACCATCTGGGCCGCTTCCCCGAGCTTTGACCACGACCGTTTGCGCTCGATGTTGTCGTAAGTGACCCATTTTTCATCGCCAGTCACAATCCGCTTCAGAAACGGGTCGATTTGGTTGCGATTCAGCAGCGATTCGCAGATGGAAATTCGGTCCATCATGTTTTTTGCGTTACTTCGTGTGACACCCAAACATCGAGCTCCTTTTTGAATCCAAGGTTATGCAATGGTTCCAAACGGTTTTCTGGCTTATCTTTAGTTCCTCAGCAATTAAATAAGTGCTTACGTGACGGTCTGTTTCCACTATTTCCATGATTTTATCGCAATTTTCGACGACAGGCCTCCCGACGCGTGGTGCATCTTTGACATCGAAATTACCGAAACGGAACCTAGCAAATCACTTTTGTGCTACACGTTCGTTTACGGTATCGGGCCCATAAACTAAATTAATGTTTTCAGTCGCTTTGACTGCTTTTTCGAAGAAAAATTGTAAAATATAGCGAATTTTCTCTTTGCTGGTGTTCATCTTTGACGAGGGCTCACAACGTACTGAGTCAATCAATCGAAAAACTGTCAAAGACAAACTTTTAGCGCGAATATACACGTTTTCAGCGCCGTATAGTATGATAGGATGCGACACGTAACACTAATACTATGGACAATAACGCCATCTCTTAGATGAAAACCGAACGAACTTTTTACTCTACCTAATATTTTAATATGTTAGCAATTCTTATGTAGGTAGATTAATATCATGTTTTTATTAGTTCATGAAAACCCGTCGCTCAAAAAGACTCTATTGAAAATTGTGGTTCCGAAGATTAGCCCGAATCTCCCATTTTTGACTCCCAAATTTTTGACTCCCAGGAAACGTCGAAAACCCTATATAAGATATATGTATACATATATAACCGATCAGAGTGACGAGCAGAATTGACTTAGCCAAGTCCTTCTGTCTATCTGTATATACGCGAACTAATCTCACATTATTTATAGCTGTTATACAAACTGACCGATCAAAGTAAAGTTCTTGTGAGCAATATCTTGTTTTTATGGAGGGTATTATACCTTCGGTGCAACCGAAATTAACGTTTTTCCTTTTTTTATCAACATTGACCTTATAAACTTTTATAGACGTTTTTATACACCAAGATATATTTTAGATTTTTTATTATCATTTTGATTATTTTTTCGTTCCCACATTATAGTTTGTTAAAGTTAGACCTTTTTTGATGGTTTTAAAGTGGTCTATCCCCAGAAATATAAATTTTAATAAATATACGTGTATATTTTTCTGTGTGTATACCATTTGTCGTTGCCGTTAAAGTGCAAAGCTCAAACAATATTGGCGGACACGATATCTTCGCGTTCTTTCAGCTCTGCCCACACTCATATCCAGATTGATGAGTCAAAAAATGGAACGAAAAGCAATTGCCGCCAGCAAAACCAGTTAGCGTATTCTGCGCACACTCTCACACAAACACACACAGTCTTCAAACAATGGCGTGACGACGTGTAGTTTAGCATTACTTATGTACGTGTGCATCAGAGTCAGCGCTGCCGCTGCCACCGACGTTTTTCTGTCATGTCAGCTTGGCGTTAAATTAACTCACGACGAATATGAAAGTGAAATGAATTTTAAATTACACTTAGTCGCCTTTCCGTATTTTTTTTTTTTGTTTGCTTTATGTGTGTTTGCTGTCAGACTGTACGCCATAACCGGCTGTCAGGCGCTTTGCGCAGAAAATATTACGGATAATTTATTTGTGTTTACAAGCCAGCTGTTCGCAAAATTCACAATTTATTTTGCATTTCATTTTACTTTTAATGCTTTCATCACAATTTTTGGCTTGTCTACGTTTGTCAAAATTGCAATCTTATTATATATTTTGGAAAACTTGGAGGCAGGTAGAAGTAATAACATTAGTAGCACGTGTTCAAAATTTATTTATTTTCAATAGTCTCCAATTTGATTTTTCACTTGCTAATATATAATACTCAGGTCTCACTTCTTAGTCTATAAGCTTCGTTTTGTTTTAAAGAAAAAGAGCTTTTATTATACGAAATTCGATTTTATGCTAACAGTCGCTTTATAGAGCTAAATACCAAATATCTAATAACTTCTCAATATTATTATACACTCAACAGGATAAATATATCAAGTTTTCCACGAAGTTTGTAACACCCAGAAGAAAATGTCGGAGACCCTATAATATATGCGTATAAATGCTTAGCGTGACGAGATAAGATGACTTAGCCATGTCCGTCTGACTGTCCGTATATATTCAAAATCTTTGAGATATCCATCTGAAATTTGGCACATATCCTTTCCTCTCTAAGAAACTGCTCATTTGAGGGAATCGGCGATATCGGACAACTGCTGCCATACAAAGTGAACACCCAAAAATCATGTCCTTGTATAGAAAACTTTTTTATTTGATAAGAAATTTGAGAAAACTTTTGACATTGGAGCACTATAGTATATTCTCATAGCTGGCATACAAATTGATCGTTCAAAACCATGTCTTTGTATGGAAAACGCTTTTATTTAACAAGACATCTTAAAGAATCACGAATCAGGAATTTATGTTCACAAATATGGCACAGATGATGGACAAAGCAACGATACAATATCCTAAGAAATGGTTCAGATCGGACAACTATACCATACCTATATGTACATGGCTGCCATACAAACTGAAAATCCAGTCGTTGTATGCAAATCTTTGTTGTTTGATAAGATATCTTCTACAAGTTCGGCATAAATTGCATCTTAAGTTAACGGTACAATCTCTGAAAAAATTGTTTTTGTATGGAATATTTTGTATAGGTTAAGAGTATTATAACTTCGATTGCAACGGTCTTTCTTCATGTCTGATTTTTAAAATGTGATATACCACATTGTATTGATAATAAGCGCGCAACAGCTTTTAACATGCACAAAACTTTCGCATACGAAAACATTTATGAACTATATAACCAGCATATTGTTTGTTTGGCGATCCAGATCAACTTCTTTTACTATAGAGATTGAGACCTTTATATCAATATTCATTTCAGTTTATTTTGATGGCAATTCATAGCTTTTTAATTTAGGTTTGATGCGTAACCGTTTCGATATTGCTCTTCATAAGCAAACACCGAAAATACACTGTTTTCTGACAGCAGATTTCCTAATTTACATTTATTTATTTTTCAATATTGACAAATAGTCCTATTAAATTGCTAAAACAATTTCGCTCAATTGTACTTTTTTACTTCATTCACACAAATCATTGCTTGCTTTCTGCCTTGCTTCGTGTAATTTGCAACTTTTTGTCGGCAGACAAATTTCCATAATTGCTGGCGATGACGCCGCCACAGACAACAGTGACTCAAGTAGAGTGCCACAATCAGCAACAATAAAGTATACAGAAATAAAAACAACAAATAAATAAAAACAATGTCAAGCAAAACAAATTTACAAATTCAACAACAAAATGAACAAATAGCGAAAGGCAGCAAAGTGGAAAATGTGGCGTGGGGCTAGGGATAAGACGAACTTGGTGGGAACAGAACGAATGGCATAGAAACTGGGTCAAATGTAATAAACAAACTCATGTGCATCCGCACAAACCTACACAAGCAAATACTAATAAAACTATTACGCTCTGTGTTGGTTGCCAATGTAACAAACGGGGAGGGGTGAGGGAAATGGTGGATGAGAACGTGAGTATACGAATGAAAGTGAGAGTAAGAGTAGGCTAAAAATCAAATATTTAACATATTTCAGGGCTAGCATAACACATGCAAGCACTTATGTGACACACATATTCGTATGACGCTCCTCATTCCTGTGGACATACATTCCTGGCGGCCGTAGTTGCGGCAACTTGCTCATCTATGTTACACCGTCTCTCAGCAAACACTTAGCATTCTAAATGGCTAAGCAACAAAGACAAGTGCTCAGCAAATAGTGTCAACGTGAGCGCTCGAAAGCGGGGAGCTGGATTGTGTGTATGAGTAACATGAAATTACTACAAGAATAAAAATACGGCTAAACAATAGTTACAACAATGAGCGCGTCAATGGCCGCCGCTTGCGTCGGTAGTAAAATAACAATGACTGCGACAATATGGCGTCGAATGTGTGTTAGTGAGTGCCGTTATATTATCCGTGCTAGGCACCGGGAGTCACGCATTACACACATACAGTCATGGGTATGTGCTGAGTGTGTGAATAGTTGCTTTAGTTCAGATGAACTATATAAATATGCATGCAAACGAACATATTTTTGCTTTGCCAATAATAGAAATTGTCTTAGAAAAAGCGGCACAATATAACCTTGAACACAACATATCATATTTCGTGAATTTCGTGGTGCCACAGCAACTATTTGGCAGTGAATAGAAGAAAAAGCCGAAGGTCAAAAGCGAAAGACAGTGAAATTTGTTCGAAAGAAGTAAGGAGATTTATATATACCGAAACCGGCTTGGGGTTATATACAATAAAACACCGTTCACGCGGTAGTTTTACTTTTAATTATTTGAGGAATTTTAAGTATATTAAACTGCTGTAATGATTCTAAAATCGATCCAGGAAAAAGTCAAAATTATGTCCCGCAGTCAATGAAAATGATTACATCTCACTCAAACTTTTGGCGGAATCTCATTAGTAAATTGTGTCTATTTAAGACCCTCCAAGCTTCGGAATTTAACAAAATATCAACAATTTCTTATAATTTCGTGAAGATCAGGTATTTGGGCTGATTTGAAGATATTCCTTCGAATCAGAAAATATTTTTAAACAAAGGAAAATTCCTCTCTTTAGCAAAAAACAAGAAAAACTTGAACTTCGGGCGTATCCAAGCTAGAATACGTTTTTAAAAAAAAAGAAATTTTCATTTTTTTATTGATTTTTCAAAAGATGATAGCTTTGTGTGCATTTGTCCGATTGAAGTCAAATATGTGCCGGTTTGTTCATAAACTTGTTGCCAACGAGATGCCAACTTCATTATACCCCTATCGTAGAAGGCTGCGTCCCTATTGGCAAAAAACTCGGAGTGCCAATTTTCACAGGCCTCTCTTGAGGCTAACTTCTCACCATTAAGCGCGTTCGCCATGGACAGGAAAAGATGGTAATCACTTGGTGCTAGGTCCGGACTATAAGGTGGGTGCATTAGGACCTCACATCCGAGCTCCAGGAGCTTATGGCGAGTCACCAAAAACGTGTGTGGCCTGGCGTTGTCCTGATGGAACACAATTCGGCCTCTGTTGACCAATGATGGCCTCTTCTGGATGAGTGCTGCCTTCAAGCGGTCTAGTTGTTGGCAGTAAAAGGCTCAAATGAGCGTTTGGCCATAGGGGAGCAGCTCGTAGTAGATGATTTCTTGCGAATCCCACCAAACACACAGCAAAACCTTCCTGGCCGTCAATCAGGTCTTGCCCACCATCTGGGCCGCTTCCCCGAGCTTTGACCACGACCGTTTGCGCTCGATATTGTCGTAAGTGACCCATTTTTCATCGCCAGTCACAATCCGCTTCAGAAACGGGTCGATTTTGTTGCGATTCAGCAGCGATTCGCAGATGGAAATTCGGTCCATCATGTTTTTTGCGTTAGTTCGTGTGACACCCAAACATCGAGCTCCTTTTTGAATCCAAGGTTATGCAAATGGTTCCAAATGGTTTTCTGGCTTATCTTTAGTTCATCAGCAATTAAATAAGTGCTTACGTGACGGTCTGTTTCCACTATTTCCATGATTTTATCGCAATTTTCGACGACAGGCCTCTCGACGCGTGGTGCATCTTTGATATCGAAATTACCGAAACGGAACCTAGCAAATCACTTTTGTGCTACACGTTCGTTTACAGTATCGGGCCCATAAACTAAATTAATTTTTTCAGCCGCTTTGGCTACTTTTTCGCCTTGATCGAAGAAAAATTGTAAAATATAGCGAATTTTCTCTTTGCTGGTGTCCGTTTTTGACGAGGGCTCACAACGTACTGAGTCAATCAATCGAAAAACTGTCAAAGACAAACTTTTAGCGCGAATAAACACGTTTTCAGTGCCGTATAGTATGATATGATGTGACACGTAACACTAATACTATGGACAATAACGCCATCTCTTAGATAAAAACCGAACGAACTCTTTACTTTACCAATATTATGTCTTTATAAAATATTCAGCCGAAAGAATTGTAATTGATGACCTTAGTTCTCATACAATATATAAGATACTAAATAAGTATTTTTTGGAGTCTAAATTTAACCTTAATGATTAAAGATTACAATAAATATTGTTATCCAATTATCACAAAAGAATCCAAAAATATTTAAATTAGGAGTTTAAATCTGTAATTCTCAATTTGCAACGGATCACTTGAATTGCCTAAATGTGGCACTCTTGGCAAACGCCTCTGCTTAAACTAAAATCAATGGCGATGTGATTTCTTATCTTATAATATTTTGTATGCATGCAAAATAAAGTGCTGTTGCGCCCAAACGTATGCTTCAAAAAAGACACTAACACAATACATTCATATGTGTGCACATATGTGTTGCTTGTATACTGTTAAGTGCACAAAATGCAAGCGATGAGCATCATTAAGCACACTTGAGACTCAAGTGAAGTGCATGAAGCTGCTGTTAATTGATGTAGCAAAGCCAAGTGATACACAGCGGGCACGCCCGTGTGTGCCACATTTTGCAAGACTGTAAGTGCAACAGTGCGAGTGGGCACGAGCAGTGTTTTGCATGCAAGTGCATACTTTTTTGGGTAGAGGGCGAAAATGCAACAGCCTACTTTTATGCTTTATGCTCGGAGCACTTAAGCACAACACTTGATTCTTCAGTTGGCAGCGACATATGTTGGCAAGAAAATACCAAGCTGCTGGCGTGAACTGCAGGAAGGCGACGAGCATATGCACTCGCGTACCTAAATGCCAAACCGTTTTGGCGGGGAGCCCGCAGCGGGACTGAGCAGCAGTGACGGAAATGAACTTCCGCTGGCAATGAAGCTGAAGTGTTACTGTAACACACATATTAATGAGAGCGCATAAAAGTATGCAATTTATTAAAATGAAGTGCAATTTGACGGTGCAGTGCGCAGGTGGGGGAATTTAATTATGCGTAAAAAGAACATATAAAATATATATATATATATACATTTATCAATATATTAACATGCTACAGTTTAAAATATTTTCGGTAACAGTTGAATATCTAAACTTTAACTTTTATATGAAGATTAGTGTAGAAAGTTGTAGAGAGTTTATGAATATCCCAAATTATCATATAATTCGAATTTGGGCAACTTTCGATTAAAAGAAAACTGCACATATGCTTATGTACTTCATAATTTTCTCATTTAAATGCATTAAGTATCTAAACACGCACGAGTAAATGTGCTGTATTACATAAGTAGCCTAAAAATATGCAACGAAAGCGCTGGGAAAACTTTATTTAGCGACCTTTTTACCATTCTCGTTTAAGGCTTGCATAATATTAGGCGAATATGTGGCGAAAGGATGCTTTTACAGTAATTTGCGTTTAAAGTTTCATCCCCATACACATAAAAAACAACAAAATGTTCATGTATAGCCCAGTATATCCAAAAAAAATTACAAGGTGAATTTGCTCATACTTTCACCCGCCGAAAAATGCGGAAAACCTCTGGTATACACATGTTTATAAAAATACAAATACCCCGGGTGTCGTCCCCACTTTGCTACACAAATATTTTAATATTCAGAACCACAATATATTTTCCATGAAATTTTAGCATCGAAAACACGTTGCAGGAACTTGGCACTCCTTCCAAAAGAAGGCATACTAATATCTGCAGTTACATACAAAAAAATTGGAATATAATTACAAGTTTATATGTATTAAATGCTAATAGACTTTTAAAATCCGCACAGCTTGAAAATGAGCTAGTAAAAGGGAGAAATGTAGGTTGCTTATTACCGCGACTTTATAAGCGCCTATAAATATGCAATACAGCCATATGCTGAGGAAGATTATATGCAACCAAAGGGGTAATCTAACCTCAAAATTTACATATTCGATGTTAGCTGGGATGTGAGTCAAATTTTCTGTGCCGCAAGATGTTGCTTTGACGCCATAAAGTATGCTAATGTTTTTAACTTTAAGGCAAATACCGAAAATTTGGCAAGTTCATATTGAATTTCTTCATGAGCAATTAAACCAAAAAATTGAAAATTTAATTTATTGTAGTTCTGTAGTTTCAATCAAAACATGCTCCCAGAAAATCAAGTATTTTAATAGAAGAACTCTTCAAATTGATTAAACGAGGTCCAAATGCGAATCATGATTTCCACACAGCATTACGTTACTTAATTTTAAAGTGCAAAAAGAACCTTCTCTTAAACATCAGCTCCAGCGGCACGCTGTCAAAGCAACTTCATTAACATCATTTCTCGTGCCAGATTATAAACCGAATTAAAACGCTTTACTTAACAGAAATTAGTATTAGGTACGAAACATACAGACACAAGTCCAGGCTCATGCAGGCATTCGCATATGGGGGAAAGAAATAAGTAAATATACAAACGTCAACATATGTGCTTGTGTTAATTTCTTGAGGTAAGTTAATTTTTTTATTACATCCACCTCGTTTTCACTCTCTCTGCCGTGCATAGAGGAAAAATGAAAAATCAATACATAATGGGCACATCTGTGCAGTCACCTGCAAGCCAACTTGGGCAGCGGCTGCCGGAAATGGCGTGTAATAGTTGCGGATAGGAGATAAAGTAAACACACACTTTTAATAAATAGGAGGTGTTTATGGAGCGCTTAAAGCTTGAAAAAAAAATTGGCACCAAATGAAGTAAAAATAAAAACATTTAAGGTAATATTTTGCTAAAAGGTGCTTAGAGTATTGTATATATAGTAGTAACTAAATTAGGTGAGAAATCGCTTGGGAAATGAGTCAGTGACAAAAATGTTTCTTGGTCAAGAAGAAAAGTCATTTACGATAATGAACAAAGCGACAAAATAATTAATTTTTGAAATCCTAAGTTCGGGTGTAAGGAACATTTTGTACTCTCGCAGCTGGCAAGGATCAGCCCGGGAAATTACTTCAGTTGTTGGCAAAATTTTATATTAAAGTAAGTATTGATCGAATTCAACCCATTTTTGACACAAAAACATTACTATTTATTTCTGTTTCTTGATTAAAATTAAGACATTGTTATGCAACTTGGTACACGTGGTTATTGGGACCGTAAGACGGTTGGTATTGTCCCACTGCCACTGCCACGCCCACAAAACGCCTTTATTCAAAAACGAATAAATTGCCATAACTAAGCTCCACAATACGATACAAGACTGTTATTTGGTATTCAGAATCACATTAGGGAGGGGCATATGTAGTTAAAATTTTTTTTTAAGTGGGCGTGGTCCCGCTCCCTATTAGGTTTAATGTACATATCTCCTAAGTTGCTCAAGCTATAATAGCACCTCAATCGACATGGTGAATATCGGTGAAATCGGGTGGCAACTTCGCCCACTCTCAATATAACGGTACTGTTAAAAACTACTAAAAGCGCGATAAATCAAGCACTAAACACGCCAAAGACATTAAATTTTATCTCTGGGATAGTATGCGATGACGTTGTGAGAAGCGCGTCCAAATTAGACAGTGGGCGTGGCACTGCCTACTTTTAAGTGAAAACCCATATCGTGGGCCCGCTTAACCGA